ATCAGGTTATAGGGACGTCTAAAAAGCACCCCATGTATGGAACTCTTTTGTGCTTTTTCGGCAAATGGATTGAAGTCATTCCACTCAGAAAAGCATTGGGCAGTTATAGAACTGCTCTCTGTATCTCTAGCAATAAAAAGATATGAAGTTTCAGAGATATTCCATTTGAGATCCAGTCAATCATGGGGCTGGGCCAAAAAAAATAAAAAAATCACATGATTGATGGGCCCTACATAACCTCTCTTTTTTAGTTACTAGAACTCTCGTGTAAGTAAACTATGCTAACTAAGCATTTGTCAGTACAACATACTATTCCTATTTCACTTTACTTAGTTTTTTTAAGGCAATCGGTTTGCATGCTTTCTTTAAGTAAGCCCAACTAATTAGATTTTACAGTGCACATATTATTTCTATCATAAACGGGCTTTCTAAATACTTCCAAAATAATCTTGATTAAATACAGGCGATAAAACAACTGCAAAACTGTTTTTTTTCCCAGTCCACAGAATTCACAAAACGAACATTTTGTTTCAGCGCAGAGTGTGCGTGACGTCACCGAGGCCCGAGCATGCGTGACGTGACGTGATGACGTCGGTCTGTCTTTAAGGGGCAGATGTTGTTTAAGTATGTTTTATTGACCTCTATTAGAGTGGCATCATCTCTGATCTGGACTTTAGGCTACGGTAGGTTTGAGAACTCCGAGAGTGAGAATCAGCAACACAGACATTTATGAGCGCCTTTATTCCGAGCTCACTCTGTTCTGATGCTCGTTTCTTGATATTTCTGCAGTGATTCCCGCGGTGCTTTGTCTGCGCGCTCACCATGTTTTATTCATGCGAGCCCACGTGAACCATCTGAGTCTCTAAAGCGGCTCGAGTCATCTTAGCAACACACCCACTAAATGACACTAACCTTCATCATCATCACCATCATCATCAGCAGCAGAAGCGTCATCAGCGTCTTCCCTCCTCTTCACAAACAAATACAATAACTACGAGATGCATGTTAAACATTCAAGTGTTTTCAATCATCCAGCAAATTAGTCTAATTTTTAAAACAATATGCTTTCAGGGGGGAAAATGCAATTAGTTTAATCAAACAATTATACAAACATCTTGGTAAAATTAAGTGCCTTTCAAAAACTACACATTAACGCTCACACACATTTATAGTAACAGAAATAAATGACAGGCAATGTATAATTTCCAGGAAAAAACTCAGAGCCCAACACACACACTCACACTAGTGTACTAGGTGAAAGTGCAGACTATAGTAAATACTTCAGTCTCTGTGCACCAACAGCTCTGCGCTCGTAATAAACGCATAAATGAGTGACGTTTCCACACACGCCGTTATATTTTTGGACTCAAGGCTTCATTGTCACATTCTTGCAGTATTAAAGGGGTCATGAACTATGAAACCAAAATTCCCTTGATCTTTTGACATAAGAGGTCATTATACAAAAAAAACATCCTGTAATTTTCAGAACTTAAAACTTTGTCGTTAGTGTAAAAACATCTTATTGAAGCCAGTCTGCCAAAGACAGCTTGTGGAATATTCTACTCTGATGTAATAGTGTGGATAAGCACCGCCTCTGCAGAAGAAGATCAACGCCTGCTTCTACAGCGCTGCCTGTTTAGCCCCGCCCACCGATTCTACGGCACTGCCTGTTTAGCCCCACCCACCGATTCTACGCCACTGTCTGTTTAGCCCCACCCACCGATTCTACGCCACTGTCTGTTTAGCCCCACCCACCGATTCTACGCCACTGTCTGTTTAGCCCCACCCACCGATTCTACGCCACTGTCTGTTTAGCCCCACCCACCGATTCTACGCCACTGTCTGTTTAGCCCCACCCACCGATTCTACGCCACTGTCTGTTTAGCCCCACCCACCGATTCTACGCCACTGTCTGTTTAGCCCCACCCACCGATTCTACGCCACTGTCTGTTTAGCCCCACCCACCGATTCTACGCCACTGTCTGTTTAGCCCCACCCACCGATTCTACGCCACTGTCTGTTTAGCCCCACCCACCGATTCTACGCCACTGTCTGTTTAGCCCCACCCACCGATTCTACGCCACTGTCTGTTTAGCCCCACCCACCGATTCTACACATCACACAAGCGTGCGTATGTTTTTATTACGTGATCACTATTGCTTTGTCTGTTAAACAGATCGTTTGACATTTACTGAGTATTAATGCGTTTTTAACCTAAATCACAGCAGCGTCCATCTATGAGGAGTGTACGCTGTCAAACAGACACAACTATTAGCCAATCACAGCAGTGGGCGTTTACTTCTGAGTTTACAATCCTCCACGCCTATTCAAACAGAGCGTTCTGAAGACGGGGGTTAAAACAGGACAGAAAATAGCTTATTACTTCTAAATTATGATGTTTTTTGATGTAAAAATCTTGATAACATTATAAGTGGACCTCCGAGAACAGTACAAATAAAATAAAACGAAAGCAGTTCATGACCCCTTTAAAGACTTCAGAGTGATCATACCTCCTCTATTTTTCCTGGCTAGTGTCTAGGATTTGTCTTTGTTTACCTACTGTTTTCATATTTGCTGAAGGTAATGACTGAAAAGTAGTTTGACCAATAGCGTGCAGGGACTGTACATAATTGACCAATCGTGGCGTGCGAGAAGGCGGGATCTACAGAGAACGGTTCAAAACACGCCTACATGCAATATTATTATTATTTGTATTTTTATTAATTTTCATCAATTAGTCCGGGAAAAAGAGAATGTATGGTCAACATTAAAGTAATTGAAAATGGCGTTTAGTTAAAGGGGTCATATGTTGCGATTTCAAGTTTTCCTTTCTCTTTGGAGTGTTACAAGATGATCCAAATAATTATCTTTAAAAAAGCATCATATGACCCCTTTAAATAAGACCTTTGCAGTAAGTGTGTGTCGGTCTGTGACAGCAGCCGCTTCCTCTTGTTTGTCTCTTCTTTTGTGATTTTTAAACTTCAGATGACTTTCTATTTTCATGCATTTTTCTCAGGGATTGATTATTGACGCTGTAGCGCCATCTACAGGCCACAGCGGCGCATTACAGGTCGGATTTGGCCGGATGCGCTTCTCTGATTGACAGACAGACGGCGCTGGTGAGTCACATTCAAACCTCACGTTTAGTTTGAATGTGAAATACTGTTGTACTGACTTCTAAAATATTTAGGATTTGGTTTGATATATGTTTAATTTAAAAAAAAAATATATATATAATGTTAAATGTTTTGAAAAAGCACAAAAAGCAACAAATCTATTAAAAATATGACAATTGTATAAAAACGGCTAGATCATCTATAATTATTTTTTGTTAGAATGGTAGTTCAGACTAAACTAATATAAGATGATTGATTACTGTTTAAATGGGTAAATCTCGGAAAACTGGTCGAAAATGTGCATAGTCATATTTCACCCCAAAATGAAAATAAATACATAATTACAATTAAAAATGACAATTATGTAAACTGATAAATTATGTATCAGTACTTTTATAACATTGTGTTTTTATCACTTTTTTAGTTTTTAGTTTGTTCCAAAATGTTTATGTATAATTTAATATCACTTATGCAATGTTTTTAAAATTCCCTGAAAATCTCAGAAAACTTTGTCCAGGTCACATTTCTCAAAAAAAAAAAAAAAATTAGATAATAAAAATGTCAAAAATCTTCTTAAAATAATATAAAAATACATTTCTTTATGAAAAATAATTTCTAAAATAACTTTTATTTTCCATTAAATTTATGACCTGTGGATATTTTAGTTCTTTTGAGAGTCACTAAATCAATATTATTGATTTTTGGCATCTAGTTTCAATCTTGTTTTCTGTCCGCATTGCAGGAAAATCAACAACTTCGACATTATTTCCTGCAATTATGATTCTGGTGTATATTTATGCCTTCACTTTACATTTAAAAGTTTGTGTAAATGCTCATAAATGTCTAAATATTTCTGTTTCCGTCACCGAACTCCTCTTATGAATGGATGACCCCATAATTCAGTATCCTGTCAGAACCTTGAACATTAGTTTTTATTAATTCAAGCAAACTGTTACAGTAAACAGTTACATACGTTACACGGTATACAGTATTTTAAATCATGTTTAATCTTTGTTTCTGAAACTCTTTTTTCCGTTTGGAACATAGAAACAGCGAATGCTGGAGAAATGCAGGCAAAAGTATTAACAGCACAATACATTCAACTCATCAACATTTATACAAACCTTAAGGCCTAAGAAAGAGAAGCCAGCGTTCAGTCCCAACAGCGACAGACACACAGACGACGAGCGTTTATCTCTTGTTCACTCACGAAGTCTGGTTTGAAATATGACTAGGTCTGTTCTCACGTTTTGGCAAACAATTATTACAATTTTATTTTGTTCGTAAATTGAGAAATGCAATAAACTACAATTTATAGACCTCAGAAAGAAAAAGGCCACAATGTTTTTTGTTTGACCTTTATGGGAAGGCGTCGACATTTCAGTGGATTAATCTCATGAAAACATGTCACATTTCACCCTTAAATCAAAGAAATCATTTAGAAAAAGTATCATAAAATAAAAAAGAAAAAAAAGAAAAAGAAAATTAAGCCCATTTTAGGGCTAAATTACCATTTTAGAATTTAATGTATATTTATTAATCTGGAGGAAAAATTATTTTAAATATTTTAACAATTATTTATAATTTTTTTAAATGAATATTTATAGAATATAACCTATATATTTGTGTGTTTATATATTATATAATATTTAAATATATTTTAATTAAATATATTTCAACACATTTTTCCTCCAAATTAATAAATAAATTATATATATATATATATATATATATATATATACATACATACACACACACACACACGTGTGTGTTTGAATGTATATGCACAACAAAATGCAAGATCACAATGCAAAAAAAAATAAATTTTTTAATTAAATTTAAAAAGAGAAAAAAAAAATTAAAATGCATTTTCTTAATGGGAAATTAAATTTTTTAATTAATTTTGTAAAATTTTTCATTGTGAGGTGAAATATAACCTGGACAAGAGATTCACTCGTGTATTTTAAGTCATCTTGACAAGTTAATAAAAACGTTCCTTCATTTTTTTCCTTTGACTTTGTCCATCACAAGCACAAAATGACATCAAACATCACATCTCTGAAATGGAAGAACGGTTTAGATGATATATAGAAAGTATAATAATCATCCTTCACATTCTGATATGACACATTGAGACGTTCCTGTCGTGACCAGAAGAGGCCGCTGTCGTCTCTCACGCTGAACTATAACAACAAACCAACCGCTTTTGTTGTTCCTATTGAGAATAAAAGACGGACGAATTCAAATGAAAGAAATATGACAGATAAAAAAACCCCAACATGGTTATTTTCATTCATCAACTGCACAACAAGTGGTTAAAAAACATTAAAGCAAAGCATTCTGGGAACATGGAATACAGTCGTCTGCAGTCCCGATGTTTCCTGAATTAGACTGCGACTGATCGGAGAGTGTTTGTGGGAAAACTGTTATTGGGAAGAAGGTTAGCTGAGATTTCATGAAACTCTTGATCCCGTGACGTTCGTCTTTCTCTCATTCCATCCAGTCGACCTCGTCGAACTCGTCCTCGTCTTCGGAGTCGCTGTACTCCACCGCGATGCGGCGCGACAGGATTGTGGCCACGTCGTTCCCCACGCGCTCGTGTTTGGCCTCTTGTTCCCGCTGCTCCTCCACCTTCCTCAGCTGGATCCCTGAGACACCGAGGTTGAGCTCGTTATGCTCACGTTTGCATTTATGCATTTTATTGACATTGCATTTATGCATTTTATTTATGCATTTTATTGATGCATTTATGCAATGTCAATAAAATGCATAAATGCAAACGTGAGCATAACGTTTGCATTTATATATTTTATTGACATTGCATAAATGCATCAATAAAATGCATAAATGCAAACGTTATGCTCACGTTTGCGTTTATGCATTTTAGTGACGTTGCATTCAAGGTGCACATTTACATTTCATCACTTCTTGCTTTCTCTGGGAATCGAACTCATGACCTTGGCGTTGCAAGCGCCGTGATTTACCATTTATATAAGATCAAGCAAATGAAATATTTAATTTGCTGCCTGTTCTAGAGCTCGCAATCCAAAGTTATTTCTTTGACTGATGCTTCTACATTTTTAATTATATATTTTAAATTATACTAATTTAATATTTTCATTTAACGCATTTATAATATTTTATTAATGCTATTTAAATTTGTTACTTCAATTGATTTATTGAATTTATAATTTGTAATTAATTATTTATTTTAATTGTATTAATTTATTACTTGCGGTTATTTATTGCATTAGTAATTTTTATTAATTGTATATGTTTTTATTATATTCATTTATTAATTACATTTATTTTATTCACAATTTTTATTAATTATGTTTTTTATTGTATTAATTTATAAGTTACATTTTAATTGCATTGATCATTTTATTAATTATATTTTTTATTACACAAATTTATAAATTACATATATTCACAATATATTTATAATATTTTATTCTTTTTAATTGCAATTTTTAATTATATTAATGCATACGTTTTTATTATGCCTTTAAACATTTTTATTACTTATATATACATTTTTAATGTGTTGAAAAAATGTGTTGAAATATATTTAATAAAATTATAAACATTTAAAATATAAAATATATTTAATGAATATATAATCAGATGCTATATATATAGCATCTGATTGCCACAGAAATGAATAAAGTTGTAAACTAAACTACATAAAAAATTTAATTTGGGGCCAAAAGGTTTGGAGCTTTTAATAAATATCCTAATAAATATCTGAATATGTAATTTAGACACATGAAAAACCACAAAAAGATCTACTTGATCTACTTATTTTTTCCATTCATTTTCTTTTTAGAAAAAAAAAAGTGTTCTGAGATTAATCACAACAATAAAATGTTTGATTCGGAGCAAAATAAAAATAGTAAAAAAGACAAATACGGGCTGAATTTAGTATAGCATACTAGCATATTAAAATATATAAAGATATGGCAGAAATAGAGCAGTATGCTACCTTTTCTAAATTTAGCTTTCCGTGTATTAAAAGTTTAGACGGGAATCCCATGATGCATTGCGATTGACGTAATCAAATCAGCCATGAAAATACTGTAGAAACTTATTGATTGTAGGTATAGAATAATAATTACAAAATAAAATATGTATAATTATATTGTACTGTGCAACTATTTGTAGTGTAGATTTTGGACAGATACCTGATTTGCACATACTAAGTGAACTTGAGTGAAACTCCGCCTACCTTTACGGATGGCCTCCAATAGAACGCTGCGGGCGTCGCTGATTGGCGGAAGGTTGGATGGATACCGCTTGACCTCGTGACCCGAGTGAGTGGGCGGCGACGAAACGGCTCCTGATGGGAAGGAAGGCATGGTGGGCGGGCCTGAGGATGAGCAGGGGGAGGAGCTTCTGTTTCCTGGGAGGGGCAGAGGAGGAGGAGGGGGAGGCGGCGGCAAAACCATTCCATCTCCG